GTATCTGAGATTGTCTCTGTAGTTAAATTACCTTTAATACCGTACTGTCATATCACCATACAACACTGTAGTTGGAACTGAGTGCTACAATGCAGCATTAAAAGTAACTGAGACACCTCCAGTGYACAAATGTATGAGGAAATGACACTTAACAATATTTCACTGCTACTTCTACTTATTCTTTTAATGCATTTAGTGTACCTCTGTTGTCATAAATCTCTGATACCCCTGCCCTTTGATGTAGTTTACTGTTGTGCTGCTGCTGAGGCCTGTGTCATTTTAGAGATAGAAAATCCAATATTGCTCTTGCAGACAGAGTAAAACATGTCCATGGTACTTGCAGGGGTTTCATTAAGGGCTGGGCATGGGGCAAATTGATGGGCTGTGAGGATGACTTTTCCCACCTGGTTTGAGCATCTAGCGGAGCAGTTTTTCTTATAAAGAAGTTTAGTTCAAATAGGTTTGCCAGCCTGTGAAAATCAGTGGCCGTCCTGCTGTCTTAGTAATGAAATCCTGTGAAACTTGAAAATAGAATTTGAAATAATTACATGTATCAGTGTCTGTGTCGACCTTTGTTGCCCATTGTACACTGTACATGTAGCTTTGGGGGGTCTTTCAACAACATTTTTGAGTTATTTGTTTGTAAAAAAAAATACCTCTTAGTCGGTGAGTCGGGTATGTTATGGACGGGTCAATGGAATTATGAGTGAGTGAGTGAGAGAGATGTATGTATGTCACAGCAATCAGATTGGATCTACTATAAACAGCCAATCAAATTTCTTGTCGTAAAGGTAAATGGCACATGAGAAGATTTGATCCTGATAGAGTTCAGAATGGCCATATTTATTGTTCTGTAAAAGAGGAGGAAATATTCATATATTGGGTTTACTTCGACATTTTTTGTGGGCTAGGCTGAGGATTTTAGTTATGAACAAAATGAGCCTTGAGGTTTGAAACATTTCGTGAGTTAGTAGTATGGAAATGGAACAAGATATTTTCATTTTTAGTTACTAAGGTAACTTAATACTTTTGTTTTTCACAAGGAGTAAATTCAGTTAGAGGTCACCAATCGTCGCTTCTAGTTCTTAGGACATTTGTTTTGGAGGGGACGAGATTATTTAGATTTGAATCAGTTCTAACATTTACAATATCAAGTGCAGGTAACGATTGTTTTGTTCTTGTTGCATGCAAATATAACGTGATATTTTTATTTTTTAGTTACAAAGGGTAATT